AACACCCTCTTTAAGGACCCTTTTTGCTACCAGAGTGCTCTTAGACTGAACAAGAGCCAAGGATCATTGTTTCCAACTTCTGGCATTCCTTATCTTGAATTTTCAAAATCCATCAGGACAGAAGGGTTCTTCTCCCTCATCCTTTAACTTGCATTTTACAGAACACTCAATCGGTTTGCCATTCCAGTTCTTAAAATTGACTGTATTACAGTCATCATTCCTGAGTGYTTTTGATAGTGTAAAAACAGTGAGTTTAATAGTATAGGAACATGCCACCTCTAAGGCTTGTGATGTGTAAGAACTGGGTTCAAAACCTGTGAGAAACTGGGTCATTTTCTATTTGTCTGTAGCTGCCAATTAGCAATGTCATTAATCCACTGCCTAGGAGAAGTGCCTGATTAAAATAGACAGTGTCACTGACCACTGACAGGATGATATGCACCAGACTGTGCTGTAGCTGCCCGTCATTGTGCTGCTGTAGTTAGGGCTCGGCCTCATTTTCCAGAGGGAAGTAACAATTTTGTAATTTCTTTGCATCCSGGTGTAAAGCAGACACATCATCCAGGCTCTGAATGCTGCATTTTGATGTGTTCTGGACAGGGAACCTGGAGCAGCCCCCGGGGTTGCTGGTGCCCCACCTGGCACCTGCTCTCAGGCCACTTTGGTTAGAGACCATGTTGTGTCTGTGAATGTCCTTTGCTGTGTTCGCCCACGGAGCCATCCAAGGCTCCTCGGGGGTGGCAGCTTTGAATTTTTTCTCCTCAAGGATGGGTATCTGAAGCTGGGCCAAAGCTTTGTTTCCTGTTGGCGAGAGAAGGGTGATGGCGGAAGAGGCGTGGGAGGCCTTGAGGGGTCTGGCTTGACTTGCTGCTGCTCTGGGGGCAGGAGGAAGGGGCTGGTGGTGCATGGCTGCTGCCAGGAAGGGCCAGCCTYCAGCTGGAGACCACAAACCCTTGGTGGCAGTGGCCAGCCTGGCTCTCCAAGGCCACAGACAAAATAAGCATTGACCTAGGACAGCAGACAGTGGAGCAGACAGAGGGGCACGGTCCTGCTGCCTTCTCCCTGGTGTGTTGGACAGGAGGAATTTTGTTCCGCACTGGGAATTGCACTCTTGTTTGCTTGCTTAATAAAAAGCTGTCCRGTGCTTTAATTTACACTCCACCTGGGATCAAATCTCTCAGCAAGACAGAAGGGTTCTTTTCCCTCAGATCTCACTTTTGAGGGAAAAATTTCCGTGACAGAAGATGAAATACCAGGAATGTTTATTYTAGGTGGACCTTCCAGCTTCTGGTTTGTAGCCACACTAATTTGTGGGTGAAGGAAATATTTTTGTACTGAAAAGTTCCCAAGAAGCTGTTTAACAGGGAATTGGAGTTTAATTGGCACTTATGAGACATTAACAATAACTGTATTCAATTTGGCCACTCAGGATAAAGTGTGATTCAGGATCAGCTGGTTGGTGTACTGAAATTAAAAAAAACAAACAAACAAACAAACAAACAAAAAAAAACCCCAAAATAAAGAAAAATTAAAAAGAAAGCAACATTACTTTAGGTACTGGTGAACATGTGCTGTTGGCTGTGTATTTGTAGGTAGATGCTTTTGTGGTGCTTGTCTTTGGTTTTCCCCRAAAGGTGTTCTGCTGGACTGGGAAAAAGTAGAAGGAACATGTAATAACTRGAGGGAAATGGTTTGACTCCAAGTTCATGCTTTTGCAGTGAGCTGGATTACAGTTTATCCCTGCTATCTCTTTTGCTGTGGGTTTTTTTTAGGGAATGTCCCAAAAACTTTCAAAAAAAGCCCCAACAAAATCCATTTTCTTATTTATGCTTTTACCAGCATGTGAACAAGAAAGGCAAGGGGACACAGAGTGAAATTTGATGTGGAGCCTTGTGTGCAATGCAGGATAGCCATCAACATCCCTTGAACCTTTCTTTTTCCTTTGCAGCAGAGTTCATTGTGCTCCCTGAGTGCTGTAGGTGAAAACAAAGACWGTGCCGCTGCTAAATGATTGCAGCTTCCGAGGCTGGCTGAGAACAGAGAAAACAAACTCTCTGCAATTTAAGCTCCTGTTTGCATGCAAGCTACACACAGCCTAATATGTACACCCGTATGATGTAAGGCAGTGGAGTGACCTGATTAGCAAACGAGCTGAGGAGATCCCTGCTCCCCTCCTTGGAGACCTGCAGCGGGTCCCAGCTGGAGGAAACCTTTCCACAGTTACCAGAGGGTTTCTGAAAATGGCAGTGGCACTGCTCTGTGTGCACAAAGGTGAGGCAAGGAGGAAGAACAAACAGCCTGCACAGCTCCATAGAATATCTGGGATGCTTTGAAGGATGCAGAGTGAATTCCTTGGGCTTTGTGAGCTCYGTGTGCCGGAGTTGTGGAGCGCTCTGTGTGTGGGGAGGCTGTGCTTCAGCAAACGGCTGGCGCCGTTTCGTTGTGCTGCTTATCCTGTTGCATGAAAGCATCATTCAGCAGAAAGAAGTGCAAGGGGRAGGGAGATAAAGTAAGTGGTCTTCCCATTTGTAAGCTCTTGCAACTTTGTTCGTATGTGTGCTGAGCAGGCAGAGCTCCACAGCTGTGAATGGGAAGTTGTGGTGCTCAGCACTAACTGCATTCAAGTGTTTATTATTCCAAATCAGAGAAAGACAAAAAATTTATATACGTAAGAAGACGCATAAGATCCAAGACTTTCTCTCTCTTGTGAGTACATATAAATATGCAGAATTGGGATGTGGCTTTTGGATTTTTTGTGCAGTACTGTGCCAGGAGGACGTGCAGGCTTGTGGCAGCAACCTGGAGTTTTAGGTGAGGAGCACAGGGCACTCTTTTCTGGCTCCGCGGTAGCTACTTGTGTGGCCGAGTGTATTAAATCCTACTCCTGAAGCCAGCGAACCGTTTCTTTGGGCTTCATTCTCAGACTTGCTGAATAACCCAAAAGGCTGCTATTATTGGAGGGAACTGCCATTCCTTAGCTCTGAAAGTGGGCTGTCCATAAATYACCAGTGTGTGCTTTCCATGGGGAGGTGGGTCAGAGACCTCAGCTCTCTTCCCTGTCAGCCTGCGGAGCTGCCAGAGCTCCTGCTCTTCCTCCTTTCTGCTCAGCCCCTGCACGAGGGTAGATCCTCCTGGTCAGGAGGCTGTTGGCTGTGCCACTTGGGCTTGGCACCAATGCAGGGTGGCTTTCCATGGCTTCTCTTGCTGTCTGCTGGGGCCGGTCCCCTCCTGCTCCCCAAGCAAACAGCCTCCTCTTGACCTGTTTCTGTCCCCAGACACTGCCTGGGGCCACGTCCTGGTTGAGCTCTCAGTTTGGGCTGGTTTTTACCTTTTTAAGAACAATAAATCAATCCCTGTGGCAACAAAAATATTAATTCCCTTCTCTAAGTGTTGCACTCAAATATTTTGTAGTCACAGACCTTTTGGATGGCAGTGCCTGTGCTGATGCTGGTTTGCTGTGATCTGATCTGGCAGTGTCCTTGCTCTGGATGGGCTTTGCTGTAATAGTACTTTCTTTTCGTTCCTTAGCTCCCATTAGTGCCTTGATGAGTAGTGAAAGATGTTTCTACAGTTTTATGATTAAAAAGAAACATCTTACCGTTGCTTGGTCTCTGGTGCCTTTACCCKGTTCATTATGCTTTTCCTGGGAGTAAAAGCAGTGATTTAGATTTGCAACATCAACATCAGTCTCTGAACCCTGTGTTTTCTGGGAAGGGGAAGAAAAAAGGATGAAGGAGGAAGTCTAAATAGCAGGGTTTTTTTTTTCTGGCATTTCCAGGCCAGCTGTTTGAAACTGTGATGCCTCACAGTGTTTACTTATAGCTCTGTCATTGGGTTCCTGGACAGGGACCCTTTGGCAGCTGCCAAGAAGTACATCTGGCCGGAGTTTGGGCACACCGGGCAGACCCAGGGCACACATTTGTKCTCCAGGTCACTGGCGCTCGTGCCAATGGCCTTAGCACAGAGGTCAAAGACTGCTTAGATATGAAGGCTGAATCGCCTCCTTGTTAAACCCCTCAGCAGGATCAAGGCTTAGGGAAGCAGACACGTGGGCTTGCCTTCTGGCTGACACTGTGGATGGAGCCTGTGACTCTGGGATGGGCCTTTTGGCAGGTTTGACCAACTCTTGAAGAGTCSAAATGGGGCATCTGGTGATTAAAACACCCCTGCACTGACACCCCTTTGCCAAAAAGCCTGGTATTTGTTTTCTTTAAAAAGTTGCTGATCCCACAAGCTCTCAGTGGTTAGAGGAGGTTTATCCTGTCACCTGAGGATCACAGAATCAGCGGTGAGCCCGTCAGTCTCACTAGACAGATGTGAAAGATCTTCAACTGCACGTATTTCACTTGCAAATATAAATAATCCAGCACTGTAGGTCTCGCTGCAGCCCTGTTTGCCTTGGCAGTGTCCCATTGACGTGAATCAGAAGGTGGGAGCAAGAAAGCACTGGAGACTCATCCAGAGCCTGGTCTCCCCTCCATCAGGGAACCTGTCCGTGCAGGCAGGGTGATTTGGAGATTACTGGCACAGCCCACAAGCCCAGTTTCGCTGGATCTTTGCATTTGGAACAATCCTGCTTTGTTTCCTTGCACTGTGCCTTTGGGAACCCTGCCTCTCAGGGCACTGGGCAGGAGAGGCCTGGAAGGAGCAGCTCTGGCTTTGTCCTATGCTGCTCTGGCTTTGGCTCCTTGAGAGGAAGGCAGCTCTTGTGGTTCAAGCTGAGGAGCAGGAGGTCAGTTCTTTCTCCTGCTGCATYTCCACAACTTTTAGCAGGTGTCTGGATTATGCTGTACCTGACTTCTTAGGCTTTAAAATAGCTGTAGGAATTAGGAGTAACTTGTGATGCCATCACCACCATGAGGCTCTCATGATGGGTTTGAGCCTCAAGGCTGTGACTTAATATTGTTAACAGTAAATATTTTCTCATGATAGTAGTAGTTGAGAACTTATAAAATATATTGGTTTAATTTTAATTTTTTTATTATTTTTTTAAATTTCAGCAAATTCAGTAAAGCTAGAAATGCAAAGTGATGAGGAATTTGACAGGAAGCCCCTGATTCATGAAGATATTATCAGAGCTCACGATGAAGGAAGCAGCCTGGAAGAGCCCTTCATTGGGAGTAACGAGATGGTGGATAACAGAAAGATCCAGGAGCTATCAAGCGATGGAGGAATCCGGCTTCCCAATGGTAAACTGAAATGTGACGTCTGTGGCATGGTTTGCATTGGGCCCAATGTGCTAATGGTACATAAAAGGAGCCACACTGGTAAGCAGCTGAAAGAAAATCTGTGGCGATGTTGATGTTACCTGACAACTCTTTTCTCTTCCCTTTTCATTCTTGGGGTCGCAGGAGCCTGGGGAGGGGAAAAATGGRTTTTGTTGGTTTTGTTTCTCTTTCTGCTTTCCAAATTCTGGTGATGCTCTCTTGCTGGCAAGCATGGTGCTTCCTTTACTTTGATTTCCAGCCTTTTGTTCTTAAAAGCAGTGCAAAACCCTGGAAATTGCTTTTGTTACTGTTCCTCACTGGGGCAAGATGGTGGTAGTCATTCTCTGGCTTGAGGGGCGGGGGTGGGTGGTGGTGGTGTTCRTTGTGTGTGCATGTGCAAAGCTTTTGAGCCTTTAAGGGGAGTCTTAGATGTTCTTCCACTGGAGGTGCTCCCGGGTGGATGAGGCCAGCAGCTTCCTGGGGATCTCACACTCCTGTAAGCACCTGGGCCTGGGATGAGCAAACCCTGCAGGGGACACTCATCACCCAGTAATCCTTATGCTGGGGTGGGCTTGCTGCTCACTGTGTGACAGCTCCCTCAGGGACACCTCAGCTGAGCCACTCACCTGGCTCCCCCACACCATCTCAATACCATTGGAGCATTCAGTGTTCTCTCCCAGCATTTGTATTTTTATTACTACTAGTGCTATTGCTGTTTGGGGTCCCAAACAGCTTACCAGGCTTGTGGGTTTGAGAATTCAAGAGGCAGAGGGCACCTCTGCAATATGCAGATTGGGTGGATCTTTGTGAATTGAAAAATTATGTCTTGAGCTTAAACCAGGGTATTTCAGGGAACTTATGGCCAATGTGGTAAAATGGTGTGCCCAGGAAGCTGGTACTCATTCCCCTGTGCTGCCCACTCCTCAGGTGGGAGCAATAGTCACCTCCAACAGAAGGACGGGTGGTRCCAGAAGATGATGCTCTCTGCTCTTGCAGCAGTCTACCTTTGATTCTAAAAAGCACTTAAGCTTGTGCTTAACTTTTATGAGATTTAAGCACATGTAAGTCACCTGAAGGGCTTCAATATAAGCTTAACTTTAGATACACACTTAAATCTTATTAAGGTTAAGCACRGGTTTTTGTGGTGGAGCCTCAGCAGGTGTTTGTATTTTTTTTGACAAAATTAGAGATACTTTGCTTTTTACCTTTGCTGTTATTTAATGGGATGAGATACTCACATTGTCTGAGATCTGTGAATATATATAACAGAAAAGTGGAGTTTTAGAGTAGAGGAAGAAAGACATTGTGTAATCCCTTTGTAAACCTGGTAGTTTGCAGTCAAGTAGTGTGCTCTTGATGGGCAAGAAATCAATAGAATTTCTGTACAGAGGAATAATAAATATATATTACATAGTTAATCTCCTGTATATAAGTTGTATTGATAATAACTTGACCTAAGTGTGTAATGCAAAGCATGGCAGTATCGTTTATGATGCACTCATGATTTTAGACAGGAATTACGAGRGGGGAAAAGCATTAGCTGGAATCAAAACCTTGATTAACAATTTGACGTGCTATTACTAGAAGAGGGAAAGAGAAACAAGAATGTACCAGACTGACTCTCCAGCTTTCAACCTCCCGAAAAGTTTTCACTGCTGCTTGCACATATCTGAACATATGTATTGTAGGTGCATCAGAGTCYGCATATTTGAACTCGAGCAGCTAAACTAGCTGTGCTAAATTTAGATTTAGGTACTTAATTAAATGGTCTGCATTTCTGAGATCCTGAATAGCTGGTGCATCTTTTAAATAYAGGCAAGCTGCCTTTTTCCTGTTAAAAAAGATGTGTAAATTCAAAGTGAACGGAACAAAATCTCATCTGCGTGCGGGCAAGGCGGCCGTCTGCGGGTGCATGGGCAGCAATTGCATAACTGGTAGCTTTTTCCTTCAGGCTACTGCTGGTTCCTCGGAGAGCTCTGACTCTTTTCCCATCAGAGCAGAGGAGCTGGGATGTACTGTTCTATACAGATGATTTCAAGCATATAGAAATGGCATTTCTKTTAATGTGCAGCTCCATGCTCTGTTCTCAGCAAACCAGTTGGCAAATTTTGCAGAGGATTTTTTTCTTTCCACTTTGTTTGTTTTCTAATACGTGCTGCTACTTTGCTGTCCACAACAGAAGTTTGCTTGGATTTCCACATCCTGAATTTTAAGGAGTATTTTTAACATACTGGTATCTATCTTGTAAAGTGCAGTATTTTAAAATATGTTGCCACTTCCTCAGCAGCAGGGTGTGATGGGCTGGCCCCAGCTCTGGAATGAGCCCTGACCTGTGGCTAGTCTGGTTTTGCAGCCCAAGGGAGAATGGTGGAGAGAAGGAAGGTTGTCCCTAGTGAGTGGAAACGGATGACATTCTTTATCAGCTAATCCAACTGGCATGTACATCCCTACCTCTCAAAGCCAATTTAAGTGTGTTTTGGGAGCTGAATCTTGCCTTACTCTCCTCTTTATCTGCACACAACCAAAGCACGATCTGGCCAGTTGTTTGCATTGGCAAAAGCTGAAGTCCTTTTCCTTTCCCCGAAAACCTGTCAGCATTTTATGTAAATCACCCAAAATGTTGTGGTCCTTAGCAGAGGCTGTAATTTCTGTGTGTGCTGAGATGAGTGTGGCTTTCCTTGCACGGGGTACCCAGGCTTGGCAAGAAGCTGTGCTGTAGGCTTTGGCTATGCACAGGAAGGGTCACTCTCTGCTCCAGCCATTATTCCTCTGTTCTGAAGAGCAGTTGTCTTCCCTGCCACATTATGGTGGTTCATTCAAATGGATATAGGGGTGGGAAAAATAGTCTGTGCTGTGGATGAGGCCAGAGTAGGTGAGCTCAGTGTCCCATCTCTGATCCTGGTGTGCAGTCACCCCTTCCTGCAATAGACCAAGCTGGGGATTGCCCATTCATCCCTCAGATCGTGGTCTAAGTTATGCTCTGGTTTGTGGAACTTCCATCACAGGGCCCGTGGCACTACTGATTCTGCCAAACGCAGCATTTCTCTGAAAAACTGTTAATTGAGGTGAAGTTTTTTTGTAATCTGCTTGGGCACTAGGAGAAAGCCTTTTTTTTTTTGTCAGTGCTGACAGAAAATAAATAAAATGGTTGGTGTGGGAATTAAGCGTCATGCAACCCCTGCATTGTTGAGCAGGGTAACCCCCTCCCTCTTGTGCCACGTCCTTGTGTCATAAAAATAGCATGTGTTGTGTTCCATTTTTTTGATCTTTCCCATACTACATTCTTTTTGGCCAAATTTCATATTCCACAGCACATTCCTCAAGTTGCAGGATCTTTATCAGAGTTTTTTGTTACTTCAGGGGATGACTTGGTCATTTAATATTGCCATTGGATGCTCCAGGGGTTTGTGCTTGGGGATGTAGAGGGAAGGAGAAGGAGATGAGGCAAATAATCCAGGTTTTTTTCAATAATGAAGAGGAGCTTGAATGATTTCTTGCCTCTTTATGCTTCCTGCTGTGGGCTTGAATTAAAATTTCCTTGCTCATTGTTTTTGGTAAAGCAGAAACCATATTCTTGTACAGCCATGCTGATGCTTCTGTGCTCTGTGAAGCCCACGTGTTGTTCTCCCTTCTGCTGTGAATTGTGACCTTTTTCATTTTTTTTTTCCCTCTGCTATAATGTCCAGTTTATACAGTTCACAGCTAGTTTTTGAAATATTTTTCAGTTCTAAGGATAGAATCAGGGGATAGTTTGGTTTGGAAGGGACCTTAAAGTTCATCCCATTCCACCCCTTGCCATGAGCAGGGGACACTTTCCACCATCCCAGGTTGCTCCAAGCCCTGTCCAGCCTGGCCTCGGACACTCCCAGAGATGGTGCATCCACATCTTCTCATCCTCATTTTTCTATAACACGCAGAGGTTAAATGCTTTCTCTGTGTGCGTACAGCAGGTGYGTACAGGCAGAGCACGGTCTGGGCAGAGGCAGTGGGGATGTCAGCTTTGCCCCACCCTCACTCTGGGCTGCTGGTAGGTTACCTTTAGGCTTTTTGGGGGGTGTTCACTGCAGCACATTCTCAGATCTTTGCTTGGACTCCACAAGTGTTCTGGTACCGCAAGTCCGTGAAATGGTACCGGTTATGTAAAGTCAGTTATATGCCCATGAGGGAAATGTTCAAGTTCTGCTTTAGCACTGCTTTAACACAGTGGTGTTATTACTGAACATATGCAACCCTGGAACTCTGAATGCAATTGAATTTTTTCATGCAGAGTTCAGGTTTTTAGGACAGAAAGTAATAAATAGGGAAAAGCCCAGTTGCGCTGCTCCATATAAAAGACTTCTATACCTAAGCGGCTAACCAGGAGCAGATTTAAACAAATGGTCATATTAACATGTTGTGATGAACTCCACTTGACTGCCTCTCTCATTTTGCTAGCAGAAAGGGTTTATTTGCTTTCATTTCTAATTTGTAACCTAGTGCAGCCTTCCTCTCTCTTGCAATGTTAATAGATTTGGCGCTAAATCAAAGATTGTAGGGCTAAATTTCTGAAAGTCCAGTTTGCTACTTAGGTTCTGAAGTCTAATGTTTTGAAAAGTCATCTCACTATTCTAAGCATAAGGAAGGGGAGGTGAGACTTTTGGAATTGTTCTGGGCAGAAGGATGTGTTTTACTTGCAGTACTCAATAACTAAACTCTTCTGATAGTTTTGCCAATTCACTTAAGAGATTYTTCATTCTTAAGAATGCAGTCATAAATCTGTGCAGAGGACAATTGAAAATTACCCACMATTTCCCAGGAATTTTACATGAGTAATTTGTCACTACTGGTTTATAATAAATTGCCTGATCTGAAAGCAGGTTTTTCCCAACAAAAAACCCTGCTAAAATTGCTGATTTCAGGAGCACCACTGATAATTCTCTTGTTTTCCTAGGACAGGTCAGAATCAGATCAGTGGCAGCATCTGATGAATCAAAAGAAATGTTTCATTTTAACTGAATATTKACAAAAAGTATTTTATGGAAGGGTGAAAATCAGTATTATTAGTAAGAGCAAATACTTTCTGATGGCAGCATGGGCACAGTAATTTTGTGTTGGAAAGAAAAAATCCTGTTTGAGAAGTACTTAAGCTATACTTTGCATATCAAAAGTATCTGCCACACAAAAAAGGTTGAGTTCCCAGATATACATTTAACCAAGAGGGACCCTGAAGTCCCACTGGACCTGGTTTTTATGTAGCACGATTGCTGCTGTAGGAATACCCTGGCCTTGTTATTGAGAACCAGCGCATTAATTTGTGAGTCACTCCCTTTGATTTCAAAGGGACGAACGTTAACAGCCAAGGCTTAGGAAAATCCAAGTCTCCTTGGTTGCCAGGTCTGTGGGCTCCTCATCCTCAGTCAAATTTCTGTTTTAATACAGAAAATAGCTTTGCAGCAAAAATATCACTGTTTTTCACTGGTCTGAGATTCGAAGAAGGATAAGTCATACTGAAACTTCTGTGCAGCACTTCCGTCCTGAGGCGGGAAAGACGAGCTATCGTGCAGGGAAGCTTCCAATTAAGCAGAAAAAGGAGATGGTTTGCTTTTTGAAACAACATTTGACATCTGTGGCATCCATTASTACCAAGTTAGTAGGTTCATTTGCCTGGTTTCAGGTTGTATCAGCCAGCCACCACTCGTAGCTTGTTCAGTGAAGTCTCCAGCCAGCTGTCATATATTAAAGATACTGTGAATATCACCTTTTAGCTGATATTTTGACTGTAAAATACTAAACCCGATAGATGTATTTATTTCTTAATTTACTCATTCCCTGGCACAAGCTCCTCTTACAAAGCCTTTAGGAAAGCTGATACTTGACAGCTCTGGTTTACCTTGTTTTGTCCATTCCTGAAGTAACTTTAGATAATTAAATGTCGCCTGCTGGGGAGCAAGGCTTTCTAGGCATTCCTGGTTTTGTGTGGCTTTGGACTCTAAATCTGGAGTTGAAAAGAAACATCTTTTTCCTTTGGTTGGCTGTCCCTCCCCCTCTTGCCACTCTGAAAGTCACTAAGTTGGAGGGCTTTCTGCCCTGGTTTAGCTCAATAATGGAGAAGAGGCTCAATACTTAAAGTAGTCTAAAAGYATTTTGCAGTTATGTTGCAGTCACGTAGTTTCTTGTGCTGAAAAGCACAGAACTTGCTTGGTCAACTTACAGCAGAGTTCATATTTTGATAAGTCAGTGTAAATACACAGAGTCAAGAAGTAAATACATACCTGTAAGTGGTGGGGAGCACACTGTGCTTGTAATTATTACCATCCTGGAGTAATGTGTGCCACATTTAATACRTCTATAGTTCCTGGTATGTCTATGCTGCCGTCACCCCAAAAAACATTTTAAACTCAGGCACCAGCATGTAGAAAAAAAAAAAAAACCCTCTGTTTAAAGACTTCTTATGAGTAGATACTTAGTTTGAAGTATGATTGATTTCACCTTAYGGAAAAAAATAGAGTTTTCACAGAAAAGTAAGGGAGGAGAAAAAGGACGTCAAGGTTGTTATTTTGTTACTGGGAAGTAATAATTCTGGAGAACGGTTTACAAACCTACCAGGAAAAGGCAGCAGGAGAAATAATGGGAACACAGTCTTCTTAAGGCATTGAAGTGATAAAGAGGGCTTGTTTGCTAGTATCTGAGTGGGCWTCAGACAGCACAGTTCTTGGAAAACCAACAGAACCTTCTTGCTATTCAGTCGTTACGTCTCTTTGTGCACCCTTCTATTGGATAATGGCCTCTCAGATTAGCTGTGCTAAATGTAAAAGCTGCTAATCAATAGCACGAAGGTGTGACCAAAATTGCATCCCACAAGCCTGCAGCTTAAACAAGGAGCTGGAATCGAATGATTGGACAAAAGTGTAACAAACAGATCAAAGCAGCTATTTACCCGGAATGAAGCCAGTAGAAATGAATTCAGGCTGCCTTTAAATAGATACAAAGGTTATTTAAGGTAAAATGTGCTATTGGAGCGGATTCTGTCTGTTGCAAGAGAGGAGCAGACTACGGGTGACTTTGTGGTGAGTGTTTTCATGTCATCTTTGCCATCAAACTGTAGTGCAGTGACTATTTGAATTTCTGACTGAAAGCTTTCAGCATCTCTAGAGCAGCCAGTTTTTTGAGAATACCTGCTCGTATGTGGCTTCCAAAATGTCAGAGAGAAGTGGGTGATGTAGTGGGTAAAACACAGTAACTGCATAATTTTAAATACAGCAGGAGTAAAAGGAAAGACTTTAAACTTGGTAAGAAACGTGCTGCCTTCTTTCATGTTGTCATCCTGAAACTGAAGCTATCATTCCAGAGCACTCAGAAACGTGTCAAAGGAAAGGGTTTTGCCTGTTTTCTCAGACAGTGAAAGCAAAACAGAAAAGAAAAAAAAAACATATATTTTTCTACTGCCGTCTCTTTACATATCTGTTATGGACATTTTGAAATGATATAGAAGAAGATAATGGCTAATCAGATCCTTTAAGTATAGTGTGGGAGTTTGAAAGGGAAACCACAAACTCTTTATCAATTCTAATGAGCTCATGTTCAGTGTATTGGAAGAAGAGCTTTATGCCGTGATTTTTTTTTTAATCATTATTCTGTAATATTCTTGGTGAGATTGTAGGAACCTTAGCATCTCCTTGAGTACCTTTGCAGCAGCTTCAGATGTGATTTCAATCCCCCACATGTGAAATAAAGTTGCAGAGTATGGCATATGCATGGCACACCTTCTGCTGCCCTCCTGACAGCATTGCAGTCCTGCAGTGCTTTGAACCACTGACACAAGAATTGCTTGTGGACTTCTGTAAGAGCTCTCTCCCTCCCTCTCCTATTTGACTCTCCAGATGTATTTTGGGCTTCACAATACACACACATGTGAACTACTTTGACAAAAAAAACAGTATTCGTTTTGTCCATCAAGGGAGTAATTGTTTTAAAGGGATTTTAAAAGGCTTTGAAGAGATGTGAAAGCTCACAGAATGTGTTTGTTTTTCACGAGATCTGCTTCAGGACACTGACCTAAAACTCAGAAGGTCCCAGCAGGATTTGTCTAAGGCTCCACAATAGGTGATGCACTGAAAAATGTGGATGAGGTTGTTTACATCTGAAATCTGATGATCAAGACCGTGTTGAGCTGGAGCTCTAGTTGGTATAAACACTGGGTAATGCTTTAAATTGGAAGAGGGTAGATTTAAATTATGTATATGGAAGAAATWCTTCCCTGTGAGGGCGGTAAAGCCCAGGCACAGGTTATCCAGAGAAGCTGTGGCTGCCCCATCCCTGAAAGTGTTCAAGGCCAGGTTGGGCAGGGTTTGGAGCAACCTGGGAGAGTGGAAKGTGTCCCTGCCCATGGCAGGGAATGGAACTGGATGGGCTTTAAGGTCCCTTTTAAACCAAACCATTCTGTGMTTCTGTGATCTAAAGTCCAGCTGCAGTAAAGCGCTTGGACAAGTGGCCAGCACGAGTGTGTGCTTGTGGTCAATTGATTTGCTCAGCAGGACATAAGCAGATGATTAGAGCAGACTGCCTGCCCAAGACTGCTGTAACAGTCTGACTGTCCTCTACAAATGTTGATATAGAGTATGGTTTTGATAATGTTCCACAAAACCTGAGTTCATCAGGGCTTTTCCTCTAAATAATATTTTTTTTAAAGGTGGGGTTTTATTAATGAACCCAATCCCCACTATCTAAGGCAAATATGAAGGCTTAGCATTAAAATAAGCTTTGAATGTGTGTGTGAGTGTGTACGAACACATGGGGTGCAGTGATAGGGTCTAAGGTCTAGGGTTTCTGTGACTTTTTCATCAAACCAGTCTTTTTAATTTATGTAGAGTGCAAATTTGTTTATTTCACAGTTTAATGGTGTATGATTTTTTTCAACTTTTAGTACTGCCCAGAGCTTGCAACCGTGATCCTCACTTGCATCCATTCCCTCCATGTCACTCTAGCAGTGCAAAGCAGCCTTTAAAAAGGGCTGTCAATTAAAGTATAATGCAAGCMAAAGGTTTGATTTGAACCAAAGACCTAAACACCTTTGCTAAGGTCCAGTTGTTATGATCAGTTCTAAACTCATGTGGATTGGACCTATACTAAATATAAGTGCAAAACYATAGAAGTAAATACTGCAAAACCACAACTATAGATCTGAATTTTCAGCAGAGCTCATCTTTTATAAAGGATAGAAGCTCTGAGGTGAAGAAGTTTCAAGAAAACCAGGAAGCATTGATCACCTCAGGGAAAGAGCCTCAAATCACTATTGGAGGCTTTGCCCATTGTGCAAAAGAAACGGCCTCTGACTTTAGAGGTGCCGTGTGATGGTGGTGGTGGGGACTGTACCCCTGTGCAATGGCACTGGTACAGAGTGGGAAAGTGGCCTCTGTGCATCCTCCGATGTGTGTTGACAGCTCTCTCCCTTCCCCTTCCCTTCCAGGTGAACGCCCCTTCCACTGTAACCAATGTGGAGCTTCTTTTACCCAGAAGGGGAACCTGCTGAGGCACATCAAGTTGCACTCTGGGGAGAAACCGTTCAAATGTCCCTTCTGTAGCTACGCCTGCCGGCGGAGGGACGCCCTCACAGGACACCTCAGGACACACTCTGGTGAGCCCACCTTGGCTTCTCCTCACACTTCTTCCTTCCTTTATCACTACCGTCCCAGTGCAGCAGGTAGTGAAAATAAAGTGTAGCTCTGGGTCTGTACCATCCTCTTCAGAGAGTGCAGCTCTCAACTTTGGGAAAGCCTTGATGTGAATCAGAAAAGTTGTGGTTCAGCCACACCTCTCCTTTTGTGTAACTGAGCTCCTCTGCTGATGCTATCGCATTTCCCTCTTAATGTCTCCTTGGGTGTATCCTGGCTTCGCTGGCAGATTGTTTTGACACTCTGGGCCCCGAAGTGGCTGTGAAATTCCAATGATCACAAAGAATAACTGTGGGCTCTTGGAAGTCTGCTTTGCAGTTCATACCCATTTCTTCATCTAATAAATGCCATATGCTGGTTGAGTTCAAACTTGTTCATCTTTCAGCCCTCTAAAGCCCTCTAAATTGCATTTTTGATTCAGTTACATCTTGCTGTAAAGTCCTAGCTCATGGCAGCCACAGCATTCACCCTGAAGCTGAAGGTGGTTGAAAGAGATGGGGTTTCTCTTGCCTTGTTAAGTGATAGGATCATGTCGGTATCAAGTCTACTTGATATAGTTTCTTGGTAAGTTGTCAAGAAATACCTGTCTCATAGCTTCATACTGGTAGTCATGTTGGAGYCCCAGCAATCGGGATCAGCTGTGGTTTTAGTCCCTGTCCCTGCACCAAGACGCTGCATTCTGCCCTCTTACTCATCTGTGTAGGACTCCTGAGTAAGATCTTGCTTTGGATCTCCTGAACACTCAACTTGTGTGTTGAGGCCACTGGTAAGAAGCTGTGTGTTTCATTGTTGAATGAGCCKAGATAATTGGACTGGTTACAAGTGACAGCATTGCAGATGAACTTCTTTGAGGAGCTAGCAAATGTGTGGCTATTGAAACACAGTGGTGGAAGTTCAACTSCAGGCAGAAATCCTGCATGAGCTTCCTGACTCTTCTACAGAGTCAACCTCATTTCAGGAGTTTCTGTTTTAGGAGTGCTGAGATGGTCTTAGGATACAGAGTTGTCTTGGCATTTCCAAGAATAGGAAAGGATAAGCTGGTAAGCTTCTCCAGGTAGATTTGGGAGCATGCAGGAGGCTGTACTGRTGGAAAATGCTGTCAGAAAGCATGAACTTCCAAGGGAGTACAGGAGTGGGACTAGGCTGGGAGAGAATKGCTTGAGTCAGACTTGATCTAAAAATCAGTAGGGAAAATGTCTGTGGAAATGTGAGCTGCAGTTTTCACACATCTGACCATAATTGCAGTTTCAACTGGAAATTTTTTAGAAAACAGAACACAATACAAATGATCACAATTAAAACAAAAAAAGAGTTGTAACCAAAAAAATAGCCCTCATTACCRAATACGGATATTGTGGTTGAAGACCTTACCAGAATATTAATATAAATTTTGTTACCTAGATACTGCCATTGATAGAGATTGTTCTTCCTGTGGGAAGAGCACATGGCTAATGGGTTCTGTGTTTTGCGTGAGGATGAAATGTAAAGGTGTGGGATTTTCAGAAGATATGTAAGCTGCTTAGCACGAGTTTTTCTGGAGCTCTTTCCCTAACTGACTTAGCCATGTTCTGGTCTGCTCAGTTTGTAATTTTAGGCTTTGTTTTCAGTGGAGAAAGTGTCACTTCTCTAAGCACTCAGCTACAGCAAMATTCAGCAGAGGCCCAGCAGGAACAGACAAGTGGTCCCACAGTACTTTTCAGGGCAGTTCTGAGAGCAGTGCTCACAGGTGAAGAGTTAAAACCTGGATTATTTCCCTAAAACGTGGCACCCCCCTGCACACAGGTGAATTGCCACTCTGGACGCAGGCATAGAAGCTAAGGYGTCTGTCCCTGCCCTAGAGGCAAGCTGGGCTGGCATATTCACACCTGGATCATGGAAAAGATGGGGGCGTGTTCCCGAGGGACTTTAAACAAATTCATATCAGCGGGCTATACAGGCACTCTGTGCTTTCTTAAAGCACACATCAGTTTGTAAGCAGGCCTGGACCAGGGTGCAGATCCAGCAACTGCAGAGAAGGTGTTTTACAACTTAAATGATTCTATKATTCTGTCAGTGTTTACATCTTCTGCTACTTCTGACCAGAAAAGAGAATATTGGATAAAATATAGCAAGAAGAGRTTGAAAACTGTTTTGAAATATGAGACTTCAAACCAGTTTCAATCTGGTACACTTAGCGTCTAAATTGAGGTGAGTCTGAATATATTTTTATAAGATGAAAGCTCTTTAGATCAGATCCTCAGCTGATGGAGATTGGAATTACATCCCCTAAGCAAAGAAAGTACTTCTGTTTTATACCAGCTGAGAATCTGGTGCATGTTTTCAAAAAGGCAACATCAATTTCCTTTTTTTTTCTGTTTCAATGTTGTATGTATATTCTTTTCCTCCGTAAATAAGAGTGCTATTAATAAAAAAATAAAATCAAATAGCAAAGCAAAACCTCTTAATTTTTTTCTCCCTCCCAAGAAGGTTTTAAACTACTGTGGATGGCAAATTATACAATAAAGGAATTGAAGAATTCTGTTTTATTTTTTTCCTCTCAGTTAGTTTGATTTGTGGATTTGTAAGCACTTTGCTTGTGTCACCACTTAGTGACATCTCACTGCTGCTTTTTAGTCAATTCTTCCTATGCTTAGTGCAGTTTTCACGGAGTACRACAAGAAAGGTAAAAAAATAAGAATATATCAATGCAAACAGAAATTAACAGAACCATCTCTGAGATATCTAAAATAGCTGGTACTTGCTAGTAACTTAAAAATAGTTACATCTTTTTTTTTTTTTGTCTTTGGATTGATGTTTATTCACGTTTTTTAATATTACTTCCTGTTGATTTAAAAATGTTCCTAAGCATCACAATCTACATTTTGCCTGCTTTTCGTGTGCAGAATAGTATCTTACTGTGTAAGTGTTCCCAGGCTGAGTGGTTAACAAAACCTTGCTTCTCATCTGTAATGCTGCTACTGCTGTTTAGCCCTAAATAATTAAGGATTTATCTTGCAGTGATTTACTCCTGCGATTATTTACCTTTTGTGGACATATGGAGTTCTGATGAACTTTATGTCTGTATTTTCCTCCCACATGCAGCTGCTTTGATTTCAGGAATATAATGATGCCTTCAGGACATTAGTGGGATAATGCCTGGGGARAGATTCATGCACAGAATTACAGTAAGAGTGGGCATGAACCTCAAGGTATTTACAGGGCTTTCAGGGGTTGTTTTCAGAATTAACTCCATAGTTCCACAACCCAGATAGTACAAGAGAGGTGCCAGAGAGGGATTCCAGGATGGGRATGTAAGGACAGGCTCTGGAGTGCTAGGGTAGAAGTTGGTAGTCCCCTCCTGAAGGGTGCACTGGACAAACCAGCAGGRATTAACTTCACCTTGCTTGGCTTTTGCTGTTTTAAAGGGAAAAATGTCCAGGCAAAGCCAATCTGCTGATGGCATTCACAGAGTAGCTGCTATCTTACCCTGAGACATGCCTGTCTTCTCYATCCTCTTTGAAACTGCACAACAAGACAATGGCAAAGACAAACTAGATGAGAGAAATTCTGCTGTAGGCAGTAAATGGACAAACCCCAGAAGTTTTAAGGAAGGCTGCTGATCTGACAGGTTAGTCTGATGGTTAAAGCCACCCAGATGTTGACCTCTATACTTTGAAAGATGTGGCAGCCTGATGTTGTTTTACCCCAAAAAGCCAGGCACCCTTAGATGGGCACATAAACTCCACAATTATGTTTTGGCATGGATTTCTCTTGTGTCTAAAATGGGGTCTGAGTCAGCCCTCCCCTTGTAATGGGGAGTTGTTGTAAACATAAATCTGTGTCAGTGCTTGAAGAAGTCAAGGCTGCTGTGACGAACAATCTGAAAGAGCCCACAGCAAACACAGGCACCTCAGTTTTCAGAGCAGAGCTTGGGCTGAAAGTCAGAAATGAGGGATGGAATCACTTGCTAAGGAGRAAACAAAACTCAGAAGAGATTCAGAAGCGAGAATCATCCATTCATTGCATTAAGGATGGTCCTGTGTGTCAGTTGTTTTGTTATTGAAAGACTGTCTTGTCATGTGTCCACACAAATGGTCCACATCAACCTTAATTCTGGAATTTCCTGATTTTTCTTTTTACTTGGCAGCTTCAGTCATGTTTCGTTACTGTGGGAGTATGTAAGTGTTATTCATATATGAAAGCAGTTTTACTGTCTGTTTCTTCCTAAAAAAATGGGTAGTCAGATTATTATTTTTTCACAGAAGATTGTCCTCACAATACATTTTAAAATTTGCTTCCAAGTTACTTCTTTCCTGCTTAGAAAGTGTCCCCCCCSCGCACTTCTTTTGCTTTTAACAAATATTTTTCTTCCCCCTTTTCCTCTTGTGTTGCTGCTGCACATTGTTTGTTTCTGCCCAGCTTTTCAATAGCACTGAACTAATGGTACCACTTTATTCGCAAAAGAAAAGCAGAAAGCATTTGTTTTGAAAAGAAAGGCTTAGGCAAAAACTCCCAAAAGCACAATCTTAGCAAACCATGTATACTGTGGAAGATAAAAGGTATGTATAATTAAAAAGGAAGATGCCCTGTTCATGGAAGCTCTTTCCATGTTTGTTGGTTTGCAAACCTGTCTTTCTCATCTCTGCTTGTCCATGAGGATTTCCCGGTCAGCCCTTCCTGGCTGACAGTGAGCCATCCGAGGTGTCCACCTGCCTGCAGTTGCATGGCAGAGCTGAGGAGCTGGATCCATGTGTGTAACTGTGCTCAAAAGTAGAAGGAAACTGTTCCCYAATCCTGATCACCTGCCTGCCTCAATACATGTTTGGGAGAGTCTCACCTCTGAGTGGTTCAGTTTGGCTGAAAAATTGGACGAACAAGTGCTGGAATACACAATGCTGTGCCTGAGTTCACGGCTGTCAAAAGCCAGTGAGAATTACTGAAAGAGCAGCAAGGATGGTTATTAAGAATAATGAAGAGTCARTGT